GAAACACTTACAAAAATATGGCAGCTGATATTTTTGATCACTACATCTCATTACTTACTTATTAGCTTGATTCCCTAGAACAAATCTTAGGGGAGCAGCCAGAAGCAGAACAGCACACTTGTATAACACTGGTATTTTTTCAGGTGCTGTTCTGTAGCCATACAGACATAAAACAAGCAATACTGGAAATATTCTAAATATAAAATATCTATAGTAAGAACCAATGGTGGGCTCAGACAAAAGACTAAAACCGAGATACTTCTTATACTAAACTAATGCTTTTAGGTAGTGCTTGATCTGGCACAGAAAGTGTAGTATTAAAAATAGAAAACAGGCAAAGCTGATCAAACTTTGCAAAGAATAGAAGACACATGTAGCTGGCTGCTTTTCCCTTAAAGAATTAACACAGGTGGAAGGTGAGGGGGCAACAGTTTACTGCTGTAGACTAAGTTCTTAACTTGCTAATGAATCCAATTTAAAAAATGCCAGTAAGTGTTCACCTACTGAAAGCCAACTCCTGAATCAGAACAATCACAAAAAAAGGATGATTAATGTATATAGTTATTATATAAAGGGGCTGTATTTATAGAACAGGAAGTCTTTACTGGGGCATCTTCTCAAGTATATGCTCTGACCTAACAAGGACAAAAAGGGGGAGGAAAAAAAAGCACTATAAATCAAATGCTAAACCATTTACAACCCATTGCTGTACCTAATTAATACTAGACTATATCTAATACAGAATTTATGCAGTAATAACTTTATTGCACCATATGGTCCCTTTACAACTTGGAACTGTGTTTATTCTCACTTATTTAGATCTACAAAAAACCCCACGGGTGAATAAAAATCTCCATTTTGCTCAATCTTACTGGTATCAATCTGACATTTTGATTCATTGTTCCTTCTGGAGAGCAGGCGCTCAGCGACACGATATTTGTATTTTTATGTTGCATAGCCAAGGAAGACAGAAAATGGACGTTGTATGATTGCAACTGCAGATGAGGTGGATATAAATGTTTGACTTCTTCAGAAGAATTTAACTCCTGTAGCATCTGCTGTTTTTCAAGGGTTTCATTATCGTGGTCCTCCTCACCGACAGGCTCCATTTTGACTTCCAGAACTGCATTTTGACTTTCAATGTTGAGAGGATACTTGAAGTGATCCAGCAAAGTTTCCTCCACAGCCACAGTGCATAAGCGAGTGTCTTGCCCGGAGTGAAACCCACCTTCGGGAGGTGCATTCACTGCTTCATTTCCTACATTGAAGCATTCAGAGCCAAACGTCCCATGCTGACTAAACATCTCCATGCCCGCTCCCTCTTCCAGACTGGAGATGCCACTGAGCAGGCTCTGATTTTCCATGGCCACCGGCAGCCTCTTGGCTTGCTTGTTGGACCTCTTCACCTCTCAGGAGACGCCCACCTGTTTTAGATCAGCTTTCTTGGAGACTTGGATTAAGAAAACAAGATGAGCTGCCAAAGTCACCCGAATGCCACCTTTGATGTGCTTGCCGTGGGCCACAAACCAACCCAGAGGCCAAGCCGTGAGGTAATTTCAGGTTTGGCACTGGGTATCACCCTGGGGTCCAACTACCCTATGCAAAGCAGACCCAAGGCATCAGCACAGCCCACTGCTACCTCACCACGTGGCTACGCCTTTCCCCAGGCCCTGCACCAACACCCCTCCCCTAGGCTGGGAGCATTACTGACCCCCTACACACCAGCCTGGGGTGAGAAGGACGGAGGACACCACCGGGCAAGGGCGGGGCTGAGCGAGGGCGGGGCCAAGGGGACTATCCAGCCGCCCCTCCCCCTTCCGCGCTGGGGGCGGGGCTGCGGGGCGGCCGCTGCCAGGCAGCAGGGCACGTTCGGGAGTAACGGCTTATCTGCGCCCCCCCAGCCCTGCCTCCAGAGCGAGCGCATGCGCAGCAGCAGTCAGGGCGCGGGGTTTCCGACCTGCCCTTCCGCCAGCGGCGCCCTGCGCTGGGGCAGAAGTGGGGGTGGGGAGGGGAGTAGGGGCCGCAGTAGCCCTCAGCGCTGCGGTGCGGGAAGCGGGGTGTGGCTGAGCAGCCACGGGGGGGGGAGCTGTGCTGGGAGGGTGGCTGCTCGTTCACAGCACACCCAAAGCACTACCCCCGCGCCTCCTGGGGACACTCACTCCCCGGCGAGGTGGGCTCTCACTTCTTTCCTCTGCCCGAGGGAGTTCAGGCCCCTCTTCCTCCTCCCCCAGGAGTGTCTGGAAACACCAGGCTGGTCTGGTCGTCTCTGTCCTTCTTGCTGAAGCAGTTTGGCTAGGCTAGCGGGGCCGACTTTTTGGGCAGGTGTCAGGGTTGCCAGAAATGCATGGACGGCCCATGAAAAAACAAAAAGACGCTTTAAAAAATGCTGCGTGTAAAACCCATTAAAAAAGCCATCTGTAAAAAGCCCAGAAACCACACGCACCACTTATTTGAAGATCTGTTTTCCCTTGGGATGAAGCTGGGATGCAAGTAGTGCTGAGGGCAGCACCATCTCGTGCCTGAGCAGGGGGCCATGCCAGGGCTTTGTAGCCCAGGGAGGCTCTGTGGTTCCCTTTCCCTCCCGCCGCAGCCATGTGCTGCTGCCACTCCCTGTCCCAGCTGTCACTTGTCTGTCAGAGCTGCTCAGTCCTCCCCTTGCCCCAGGCAGTGGCTGGGGCAGAGGAGAGGCAGCGGTGGGGTTGCACCCCTGGACAAGGGTGGCAGGGCTGGAAGGGGTGAAGCTGAGGGGTGGCAGCAAGGTGCGGACTGCAGGGGGCAGGGGTGCATTAAGGGGGAGGGGAGGGGAGAGTTAGGGGGCTGGCGGGGTGGTGCAGCATGGGGACGCAATGGGCAGGCAGAGAGCAGGAGTGTCTGGAAAGGGGGAAGAGCTGGTCCCCATAGCACAGTCTGAACAGTTATTATCCCTCACACATCACAAAGGTTGTAAAACATACAAAACAGCTTGGTTGTCAGTAAACGTTTGCAGCTTGCCAGAAAAAGAGTTCACAAACTTATTTGACATGATAACCCTGGCAGGCATGCCACAAATTAGCCCCACCCCCACCAAGTGTCACTCCAATTCCCTTCCAGTGTGATCTATTCTGCTTTCTGCTCCCTTATATGCTATTGTGCTGCCTATCCCCTCGCAGGTTTGCTCATGCCACATAGCGGCTGTCTGTGCCACTTGTGGCATGTGCTGGAGGTTGGCCACCCCTGCACTAGGCCAAAAGCAACAGTAAGCAAAACCTATGATTACCCTCCAAGGCCAGTGTTGAAAAGCTCTATATTCTAGCCTCCGGCTTTCAAAATATTTTTTTCACTTAATGACTGTGTACCAAAAAATAGAAAAGGTCCTGCAAGCGGAGAACAGGACAAAGGCCCCACCACACTTCTCTACTTCACCCAAAAGCCCTGCACAGTAGGGTACAGAATCAGGACTCCCTCTCTGGTCCAGTAAATCTTGAATTCTTTGCTAAATAGTGGCACAATATCAAGCAAGAAAGGTTGGAGAGTGTTCCTAAACCAGAATAGCCTATAACCCTGGGGTAGGCAAAATCTGTCCCATGCGGCCCACCAATTGATTGCATCTGCATCCTGGCTGCCCCTGTGGCGCTCTGCATGCGGCTGAGCCCTGTGCGCTCCTGCCTGGGGCAGCCTGCACCCACCCTGTGCCCACTGATGACACCGCCCCAACCCCAGCCAGTGTGGATCCCACTGCTCCTGCTGATACTTCTTGACTCCTCCTGCCCCTGCCATGCCTTTCTGGACAGCAGGTAGCATGGGCATATGTTGAACACATGCTCAGTTAGGTGGGAGGGAAAGTGCAACTGGGCAACTCCTGCCCCAGTGTGCAGAGCTCCAGCTCTACATCCCGGCTGCCTTCCACCCACTCCTCCTGCCTGGCAGCCACCTGGGGGTGGCCAAGTTGGTGGAAGGCAGCCCTTCCAGGAAGCTGCACACACTGGTTTTATGAGCCCTGTTTCCGCAGAGCCAGTAAAGGCCTGGGGCCAAGGCAGTGCCATTGGCAGGTGCAGGACAGGCTGCCCCAGGCAGAAATGGGCAGGGCTCAGTCCCATGCAGAGCACTATGGGCCAGATGAAGGGTGGGGTGGACTGTACCTGCAACTTCACCACACTGCCTGAGCAAGCTCTGTTGCACACACTCCCTGCCCCCCACCCCTGGCCAGCTCCTGGGAACTAATGGGCAAGCAGCTGTCCCCAGCCCCACCCCCACAACACATATGCACACCCACCCATCCATATCCTCCCCTCCCCACAATATACAAGAGTAAGATTCTATTTGGAGGTATTACCCAATCACCTCTTTATACACTATTCCAAAAAACATAAATCAGGGCAAAATTATTTTTTAAATAAAATTAAAAGATGTTACAGTAGATGTTTGATTTCTAGTATATGATTTATCTATAATTTGTTAAAATGGTATCTTCTGAAAGATTTTGTGTGCGTGTGGTCCTCAACAGCTCCCACAAACTCATTAAGTAGTGTCGTGGAAACACACGCAGCATACTTTTGGGTCAGGTCAGCAGAAGCTTTTATTTAAAAGAAACTACAGCTGTAGGGGGGATTCCAAAGTGACATGGATTTCCCAAGCACTTGGAAGAGGTCCCCCCACAAGAGCAAAATCAGGAGGCTTATATACTTTTTAACAGTCGCTTACAACTCACGTGATCATATAGTGAAATTAGCATGAAAAGCGGCTATAATATTACTTCATTATTTCTTTGCTGTAATCAGGATGGGAACTAATGGGGGAGGCGAGGTTAGTTCACAAACCTTCTTGCACCTGGAAATCAGATTTGTTGTACATACTTTTTGCTATCTTCAAGGCCGCGGTGAGCGAAGCAGTTGCAGAGGAGTTACAAAGAACAAACACTTTCTCTTATCTGTTCTACTATACAGAGCCAGCAATTCTCCACAAAGCGGTTATGTCATCTTATAACTAAAATAATCAAAGTTTAAGGCATATATTTTGTTCTGATTCCACAGTCCCCCCCTTTGAGACTATTTAGTCTCA